GGCAGCCAGGGAGATAGATAGGATCTCTAGAGATAATCTAAGAGATCTAGGGCTAGTAGAGGAAGCAGAGAGTAGGGGAGAAGGATAGTAGGAGGGGTAGCCTAGACACGCCTAGGTAATACCCAATAGACAATGAATACCGAGGAGGGCACAGCCCAAATGCTCTGGCGCAGATAGGCGGTTCGGGCGAGGAAAAGGACCAGAACGAATACACAGAGGATAGAAGAGGCTGGTAGAGCCTCTAGGGGCAAATTAGAGGCAGTGGCCTAGACCACTGCCTAGACGCATGTGTCTGTCATAGCCGATTGGCTCCATATGGACGTTAAACTTGATTAAATAAATAAATAAATATCTGAATCTGAACCGCCTCGGTATAGGACTTTCGATGGATCCGGCCAGTTACGTGGCGGACAATCTCGCTGGGCTATACCCCGTGCTGGCATACTTTGCAAATAATAATCGGCAGTCCATCGAGCTTCTGAAAGATAGGATGATCCATTATATTTTATTAAAATAAATAAATAGTAATAGAATTGGACTAATTCTAATAAGATTCTATCAGATTTGTAGTATATATAGATTACCCCTGAGTACTACAATAAATTAGATAGGATATAGATAATAAAAATAAACCCTAAACAGATACTAGAGACAGTAAATATAGATAATCAGGAATTCTGCCAGTCTATATCTACCCCAACTAAATTTTTACAATACAAACTTCTGCTGGCTATATATTATTTTCCCAAGCGATTGAGACACTGTAAATTAGACAGTCAATATAACTGACAGCTACAAGTAATCTGGCCAAGTCTAAGCCTGATCGGATCGCGGGATTCAATAGCAGTCCATATCAGTCTATCAATTCCAGCCCACGTTGACCCTAAACACAGCCGCCCGCCAAACAGGGCCCCACTCAATTCCAGTATACTGCACTGCTTCACCCCTTCTGGATTAGCGGCCACCTCCGCTACCTCGACGACAGTTGTTCCGGTATGGGTCCAGGCCGGGGGTTTCTATTGGTCTCCAGTACCCAAGCCTACCCCTAAGCCGGGGCATATACCCGTGCCTCCACTGCCCTCGTTTCCTCCCATCCCAACCGCATCATGCTTCAAACTATTCGATCTATTCTCAATCGACTGTCCCCCCAACCGATTCCTTCCAACAACCACTTTCAGTAGCCAGGCCCCGTCCCCAACCTGTACCGATATCAATAGTCCCGGGTGCGGACATCGCTGTACCTCGAACTGTGGTAGCAGTTCTAGCGAGGAGTGCACTACGCAAACAGCGACCAACTACTGGGTCACTTGCTCTGGCACCAGCTGCTCCACCACAAGAACGGCCACTTTTGCTGGATGTTCAGTAACCAATTCGGCCACAACAACGGGCAAGTATTGCCCGACAGGTGTCAAGATTGATCCCAATGACGACCAGGGGGCGAATGGATATCCCCCCCGAACGACTTCGACCATCACTACCAGTATCCCAGAAATTGTCATCGTCGGGGGCGAACCATATACGGTAACGGGGGGAACCATCAACGTCGATGGCACGACTATCCGGGTGCCGAACGTGGGCGGCAACGAACAGGTCAGTACGACAATAGGCAATGTGCCCATGGTCATCATCCCAAGCTATTCAGGAATGATGGTCGTGCCGGTGTTCCCAACGGCCAAGCCGACTTCCAACTCAAAGCCCGACCCCACTACCACCTCGAAAACCACGTCTACCACTTCTACTACCCGCCCGACAAATCCAGCACCTACCTCTGCGGATGGTTGTGGCTTGATAAGGAAACAAGATGTATGCTGGAACAAATGTGATCCCATCACTGGCAAGGCCGTAGGTGGTGGGTGGACAAAAGGTGATCCATGGTGCTGGCTTGAGCATAAGGGTGTAGGTGCCTTTTGCAACCATCTGACAGACTGTCCAAACACATTCGAATGTCAACCAAGTAGTTGGGCTCGAGGTGGATGCGGAAGGTCAGAGCCAGATTCCGGCGGTTGCGCCATAATGGATGGCATACAAGGAGTATGCTGGAGCAAATGTAACCCAAAAACTTCGAAACCCGTCAAGGAAGAATGGACAAAGGGTGATCCATGGTGCTGGCTTAAGACTGACAAGGCAGGGGCCTTTTGTAATGGTGATAAAGATTGTCCAGCAGATCTTGAGTGTCAGCCAAGTAGCTGGGCCAAGGGAGGGTGTTCAGCAAATACACCAGTTGGTTGATAATGACGAGACATCTGTTGAGAGGGGGCCTCTTGGCCTCCGCTTTCACTCATACGAAGTTAATTTTAGCTACTGCTATAATGGAAATAAATTAGAATTTATTCAAAACATGACAACGTACTCGGATCCACTAATGCGCAGGGTGGGCCAGGCAGGGTTTGGAACTAGGCGGCAACAGAATCATCATGGTTCCCATTCACTGCATACAGGACCATAGCTACGTCCCTGGTACGAGTTACTTCAGCTTTAAAACAACAGCTACAAATTACTCAACACTCGCCTTTCCAGGCGAATTCATGGGAATACCAGATTATTATATCAATATTCAAGACACAAAGAAATAAGAAAAGCAAATGTAGTATCTCTACAACATTCGCACGTGATCGCTAGATACAGCAAGCATTAGGGTGCGGGGTCATGTGAATTGAATTGAGTGCCTGGGGACTCCAATTGTGGGTGCCTGAGTTAAAACTGAACAGTGACGCGTTCCTGATAATTTATAATTTCCACCGGATCCACCTCCAAGCGAACGGAACGGGAAGGATTTATACGCAGGGTAAATCTTACTTTCCTCCCAATTGCGCTGGTTTTCTATCCAAGCTTCCCATATCTAGATTGCAATGGCTTCCCACACACCACGCGAAACCGACCGGTTACTAGGAAACGATGCCGATTCTAATACTCCACTCCAGAAATACCGTCGCCACAGACTTATCAACCATCTTATCTCGGACATAAATCCTAAACATGGGGACCTTATTCTTCTGTTTTGCTACGTGATCACTGGGCTACTCGACAGCTCCGCCGTCTTTGTCTGGGGCTCTTTCGTGAGCATGCAGACCGGCAACACTGTCTACCTAGGGCTCGGTCTCATGGGAGCCGATAAGAGCACTCGCTGGCTCAGAGCATTAATTTCAATCGCCAGTTTTTGTGTGGGCTTATTCTGCTTTGCCTTTTTTCACCGACGATTCTCTCCTCGCAGACGCTGGGTGCTCTGTCTTTTATTTACTATCCAGATACTCTGCGTAGCCACAGCTGCTACGATTGTGACTATCTACCAAATTTCTAGGAACTCCCCTTTAACCTGGAAGGTGATTGTTCTATTGATGCTGGTCGCTTTTCAGAGTAGTGGTCAGGCAGTGATGAGTCGCGCCCTGCAGTTCAATGGTCTTACTAGCGTGGTGTTGACAAGTGTATATTGCGACTTATTTTCCAGCCCGGAGCTTCCCCCCTTGTCGATGTTATATGGAGTGGAAAACAGGCGACGTGGCGGGGCAGTGGTGTGTCTTCTGCTTGGGACGATGCTGGGGGGTCTTTGGGCCAAGAGCCCGGTTGGACTAATGGAGATGTTTTGGACCGCAGTTTTGTGCAAGGCTTGTATTGCTGTTGCCTGGTTGGTTTGGCGGGGGCAACCAACGGAAAACATGGAGGATGATGGGCTGGACCAATGAAATTTATATTATTAGTTAGCGATATCTAATGCCAGGGGGCTGCCCTATCATATCTCACGCCCCTGAGGATATTCCAACTCAGCCCTACTGTAGGGCTGACACGGGTCCCCCCCCTTGGGTCCACTTCTCCTGCGCAAATTATTATGAAAGCTCTAGTGTTGCCTTGGCTTATAATCTTGGCGTAGGGAGAAAATAGAAACAGAATGAAACTATTTGACCACTGTCAAAATGAAACAGATCGGTTTTCTACGAACATTAACGGTAAAACTGTTATGTGCAGTTTTCTCTTTTAGACTCTTTGGGATGGCTCGAGGTAAGCTACATGACTTTTTCTACAGGAGTACCGTTTGACAAATTCCAGGACTGGATGAAGGCCTCATATCGACCACAGTAGCTCAACCCTCCTTTATTTACCAGTTCTACCTTGAGGATGCCGACCTTAGTGTATCGGAGAAAGCCAACCGGCTCTCCAATATAATCTCTATAATTTATATCGGAAGTATTCCCGATTTCTTTTCTGAGACTTTCAGAGGCGTCTGTACCTTAACAGAATCCGTTCCTTGCGACTGAGGCCAGTCTGATATACCAGAAGGCTACACATGGTTTTGAAGCGGTCAATCTTCACATCTGAAGAACGAGAGACGGTATCCTTCTTCGTCTTGAAAGGTCGGCTACATGCCCTAGCAGGCTAATAAGTGGCGCCCATAATTCAGGGATAACATGGAAATAAATAGTACAACGATCACTTAGCGAATCAAATCATTGGGTTGGAGACACAAGAAAAGCTCAACATGTCTATAATATGGACTATTATAAAGGAGTAATAATTATGCGAAATTTTTTCACAGCCTACCGTTTGTGTATTGGTGGTATGGGCTTGTTTGTTTGTCTTATCCGAACCCTTACTGAAACGAATAAAAGTTACTCAAAGCAAAGAGAGATTGAGGGTTTTCCATAAATAAGGAGGCGCTTTCCCTCCCTCTGAGATCAAGAAGCATTCGTATGATACAGTAAGCTTTAAAGATGTGTCCGAAAACCGACACTAGCTGGTTAGATGTGGGTGTGGGTGAGAACGGAAGCTATGTCATCCGGGATTACGGACGACTAGACCAAGTGGTTTCCGAGTTGACTCAACCCCGCCGACAGCATCCTTTCTTATCGGTATTCCTAGGTGGGAAGAACAAAGACATTGCGCTCCAGGCAATTTTCCCCCAAAACAATATCAGAAGGACCCAGCCTTGCTCGCGAATTGGTTTGCGGTACGATATAACATCATCCGATAGTGAGAGTCCGATTCTATTCGCCGATGGCAACGTTACTCCCACCAAGAGTGTCCTAGACGCTATGCCAGGGGTATATGATTACCCGATCACATGGCCCATCAGCTCCATCGATAATACATCGAGATTGGTCTATACACGGTTAATTTTTCTTTTTGCTGATCTCGTGTGCCTTTTCGCCGACGATTTCCCAGACCTTATGTCAGTAGCTCATTTCTTGGTAGACTGCGTTTCTATGCGATCTGCATCGGCCATGCCTGTTGCGGTCCGGCCACGCGTGCTTGTGGTACTGATGGGCAACCCAGACCGCAGCGAACGCAACGGGCCACTTCAACAATTCTATCAACAACTTTACGAGGTCGACTCCACCCACCTCTCTGAGTGCTTTTTCAATGTCAATCTGGTATACCTTGACCCCATGCAGTCCGAGTCCATAAGGTACGATGGCGTGCGCACATGGATTCTTAACCAGAGGGAGAACATACAAATTGTACATCGAGAGAATTGGTCACAAGTCAATGCAGTGCAGTTAGGGGCTTTATTTACGTCGGCGATCCGGAACCTGGTATCGCAAAACCAGGCTTTCTTTGACTTTGTGAATGCTTCTCGCGAATGGAACCCTGTAGGGGCGGGATTGAGCGATCATGTTGCGCATTTTCTCGAAGTGGGTCATCGGGAAGAATGCAAATTAGAGATCCTACTCTCTTCTTTAGCGTCTGCGCTAATATTAGACCACTGTCTACCCGGAATGATGTGTATGTCTTTCACCCGCTCCTTTCCTTTGTTCTCTCGGGTTTCTCTCTCTTCGTCCGATTGGCTGAAGGTCAATCTCCCCACCCTATTCTGTGACCCTTTCGGCGACTTGCATATTATCTGTTCTAACTGGACACAGTAATGGATCCATATGCCGTTTTCCGAACTTTATACCATGATCCTGTCCTCCGAGCGTTCTGTCATCGCCAGACGCCAAGGTTTTCCAAATCTGTACCAGATTTGGTTTCTTTGGTAGAGCAAGAATTTGTGACGCAGTACCATCTCTATGCCTCGGGAGAGCAGTCATCTATTGAATATCGGCGGCAGCATCTTCTATCTACAAACTATGAACTGTGCCGTGTCCAATCCGACAAGATATGCCTTTACTGTTTGGTTCGTACCGCACAACACTCACAGGTGTGTTGTCACACCATATGTGATCTATGCCCACAGTTATTCGGGAACACGGCGCCCGACGCAGAGTACCAGTTCTCGATGGTAGGTTGCCTGCTTTGCAACTCCCGGGCAGTCACTACAATTGACGTTCTCCCTCCTACTATGAATCCAACCGTCTTGGCGATTGACGGGGGTGGAGTTCGTGGAGGGATCCCGTTAGAGTATCTGCTTTTAATACAAGAAAGTCTGGGGCCGGAATGTAAGCTAGCTGATCTTGTGGACTTGGCCGTGGGATCTAGTTCTGGTGAGTTCAGACTCTCCATACCCCGAAGTCTAGGGTGTGTGTCTTGTTTTTCCTGTAGATTCCTTTGTTCCTATCTGCCACATCTTCTGGAACCAGGTTAATAACGTTCACAGGGGGGTTGATCGTATTGGGGTTAGTCGCTATGGGTTGGGATGTATCCACTTGCTCCCAGAAGTTTGATCTTCTTGCGCGGCGTATTTTTCGCGAGCGTCGACAACCCGCTATATCGTGGCTACTTCGCTTGATTCTCCGTCGTGATTCTCTCTTAGGTAACATTCCCAAGTGGTTATCATGGTTTTTCCATGACAGCTGCTATGATGCGAAGCTATTCGACGACTGCTTACAGGAGGCATTCGGTGGAGACAGGCGTATTTTTGAGCCAGTCAAAGATAAGCTTAGTGCACGATGGCGCTCGGGGGCCAAATTTGGTGTCATTGCCACCAGCATCGCTAGGGAGACCAAATCCTTCGTATTTAGTAACTTTAACGCAGTGAACTGGTTCGATCTTAATTATGGTGGAGGACGCCCATCCTTCCTTTTCGGGGACTCTTGCTAACTGTGGAAATCAAGGGTATGAACTTTTCCGAGCAAATAAAAGAAATAGTGAACCTCTTTTATGGGAAGCGTAAGTGGGCCGCCAAGAAGCCAAGACATTGTGTCATCTGATAACGTACAGGGCGAGAGCTACAGCTGCGGCTCCATTGTAAGTAGCATTCACCATAGTACTTTTCTCTAAGAGAGAGAGAGAGAGAATTATTGGCCATGCTTTGCAGAATTAAAATCCGTGGCCTGAAACCAGAACTGTGGCCTTTGGCGCTTATTTAAAATAAGTGGCAACACACCCGTGTCCAACAGGAACCAAAAGTCCCGTCCGCGTTGATTAAAAATTTTATTGATTACGCTGAGGGTCCGCAGACAACTCTTGATCTCGATTCATATCATGACAGCCAAAAGGACTATCCGGCACCGGCGACCGGATAGTGCCAAGTCAAGGTGCCAACAACGGAATCGACGGAAGATTCAGCTATTCCTAAAGGCATATGAGTATTGCCAGGAGTGCGACGCGGATATTTCCTTAACAATTCGATTAAGACATAGCGGCGAGATTGTCTTTTTTAATTCTGACGGGTCCTGGTCTCCGTCAAAAGAGCAGCTGGTAGGTGGATCCATTAACCCTGTCAGACGTCCAGAGTCTAACCAACTTAGGCGACGTACTATCCAAGGCCCAAACAGGTCACTTGGCAGGAAATTGCGGCTCGATATAAGTCCTAATCATTTAACACAAACCCCGATACTAGAACAGAGAATTATCTAGCAGTATTACCCTATTTCTAGGCTCTTGGGCTCCGGTGATGGTGGTTGTGGGATCTACAGCAGATATATCTGGAACAG